GATTTTATTTAAAACTAGAATTGCCCGCGGCTCCGCCCGCGTTCAGATGACCAAAAATAAAATTTTACATATTAGTTATACTCTTACAATGAAGTTTTTGTATTTTTTCTCAGAAATGAGATATTTTCCCGCGATAAAAAGTATCCTATATGTTGACCCGGATAACCAGCTATCATCATACCAAATTTCATCAAAATTTGTCCAGTGGTTTTCTCGGGATACGATAACAGACAGACAGACAAAAATTCTAAAAACTATAGATTCGGACTCTGTATCGATAATAATGTTTATTTCAATTAGATTTTCCAAAAAATATTTAATGTACAGATTCGACTTTATTACAATTTTGTTATATGTATAGATATCTATCAAATACTAGCGTATTTTTTTTCAAATCTAAGATAGTATCATGTTAACTACGTAGTTAATAAATGTGGACGTTAAAATAATAATAACACGTTTCTTCTGAATTTATTTGACTACGTGATGTCATTTCGTGCAGTAAATGTATTGTCGGTACCTTCGGCTTGTTGTTCTCTCTTTTTAAGTATGTACAGTAATCGATTAATTTATTATATATTAGAAAATCGATAATATTTAATAAATGCAACAAAAGTGCCCGCATGTTTGTGTTGCTACACGACTTATCTCTGTTAGTTTTAATTCCCCGTGACTTAGAGAAGTTTTATTGATGTATTATTCGTTAGTTGATGCGGGTTATTTTATTAAGTAGAGGATAATACAAACACATAATAAGATATAAGAAGTATATACGTCTAATTGCGTTATAAAAGTGCGTATTTTAAAACCATTTCCGTCTCAAAAGCTCTATCTTCAATATTCAATTAAAGCTCGGAAGTTTGAATAGTGATGTCAACGGAAAAAACAAGTGCCTACTCGAACCAGAATTTAATTAAATATATAAAGTTCGTAAAACTTCGAAATTCCAATTAATTTAAGACAGATTTGTGTATAAATAAATATATTAAAATAAAGTTTTTTAAACGTAATTAAATGAAACAGCGAGAGATGTTCTCCAGTCTATTATAGTCTAGATTGCGTGTAACTTTAAATCCAATCTAATATGTTAAATAAGTAAATAATATAATTTATTTCTATTTAGTATTTGTTCAAACGATAACAGCATAATCCATCACAATTAAGCAAAGTTTGTAAGTGAAATACATTTAGTTCGCATTATTTAAAAGCGGTTTGTGGTGAAGTTAAAACAAAACCTAATATTTGTTAAATTTAATATTAAAGCACGTGTACGTTTTATATATTAAATGAATTAATTAAAATATGACATCGTAGATGTTAGATGTAATTAGTAATCTTTATAATTCTACTTATACGAATTAAATATAAGTATACTAATAATAGGTGTTTTTTTTAACATAAATGTAAAAATTGTTTATTTACAAACAGATGGAAATACAAATTCGTTGCTTGGTCGGCCCATGTGCGTAGAAAGACGAGAGTGGACTATCCCATACATCATCATTAAAATATGTATTACTAGCAACTTCCGTCGCTTAGCTCGGATGCGTCCTAGGTACTCGAATTTTGTTGACAATTTCATTGGTTTTTATTTTTTTCGCGGAATCCTAAACCTTTTCCTAAAACAAAATTAGCCTAAGTTACTCCTTATAACATCAGCTATCTGCTAGTGAAAGTCCCGTCAAAATCAGTCCGGCTGTTTGGGAGATTAGAGAATTTTATTTATTGGAAATTATTTAACAATTTTAATATTTATTATCCTGACATCCAGGTCTTTCAAATTTAATTCTTATACTATTTATAAAACAATTCAGTTAAAGTAATTCGAACCAAAGTAAAACAAGAATTTAATAAGGAAAAGGAGTCTAGAAACACGAGTGACGACGACGCTGTCTGAACAAAATTAGCTTTGAATGAGCCAATTTCTTCATAATGGAACGAAAATTATGAAATATTTCTTCTAGTAGGTATTTTTTCTATAAGCAATGTCGTGCTGCAGCTTAAATTTTAAATGGATGCCATACTCGTAGTAATCGTTCCATATTATATATTATAGAAGATCAAGTAGAGAGTAAAATGTGTTGTGATCAATGTCACATCTAGATACATAAAATTTAATCTATACATATAATAAAATTGTAACTAAGCCGAATCTGTACATTAAATATTTTTTGGAAAATCTTATTGAAATAAACATTATTATCGATACAGATGCCGAATCTATAGTTTTTAGAATTTTTGTCTGTCTGTCTGTCTGTTACCGCATCACAAGAAAACCACTGGACAGATTTTGATGAAATTTGGTATGATGACAGCTGGTTATCCGGGTCAACTTATAGGATACTTTTTATCGCGGGGAAATATCTCATTTCTGAGAAAAAATACAAAAACTGCATTGTAAGAGTATACTAATATATAAAACCTAAGAATTTAGTTTTTGGTCATCTGAACGCGGGCGGAGCCGCGGGCAACGCTAGTATTATATAACATGCACGTACATGCGCGGCTTGTCAGGCGCTGCGATTTACCGTCAGAAGTAGCTTCTAAACCGGTCGGACCGGCACCAAGCTCTTCGAAACTCTTGCATTCAACTCTTAAATTGTTTATATGTTGTATTACTTTGCTTGCATATTAAAAGGATCTCAAATGTAAGACCGCTTAAAAGATTTTGGTTTGAATAAAAATGCCGGCTTTAAACACATTTGGTGAAACTTGGCTATTTATTTACTTAAAAATAATAAATGGGGTGTTTATAAAAGTAAAAAAGATTACTATGAAGAGTGAAAAATGGGTTAAATTCTAATACATACCTAACGCTATCTATTAAAAAATTGAGTATATCTTAGTTTTAATATTTATATGTTAACGTTTAGCTCAGAGATGAGATAACTTCCCGCAGTAAAAAGTATTCTATATGCTGGTTATCCGGATCAATATATAGGATACTTTTTACTGCGGGAAAATATCTCAACTCTGAAAAATCTATACTAAACTTTAAAATATACCCAAGTAGGGACGAACCCGAGCGGAGCGAGGCGAGTCGCTAATTCTTTTAATAAAAATAAATCTATTCTAAAGTAAACACTTGTTGATCTATGTTAAATTATACGGGATATAAATGAGAAACTATAAAGATCCAATTTAGTATACAGTTTTAAAATAAATAAAGTTAAAAAATAAAAAGCTACGAATAACAATTATATTATCTTCGCCTCGAAATTGCGGCCATTGTAAAGAGCACGAATTGAGCTACGAAAATAGATAAGGTATTTCGATCCTTTATTTTTTGTATGATACTTGAATTGGCGCACTTATTTAGTTTCTAGTTTAAATTAGATAGTAAGTATTATATGTACATTACTAGCCGACTGGCTGGGTTCTATAAGTAGGGAGCGGCCCCAATCCCGGCTCACCATTTCTCCCTCGTAGATTGATGATGGATTAAGTACTGTATTATTCTGGCAATGTGGAACGTTAACGTATATACGCTTCAGGGTAAAAGCTGAATAACTTCAGATAATGATTGTGGAAGATTAGCAAGTTATATTGCATGCAATACTGAAAACTAGAAGCTGAGATTGCCTTCGTGTAAATAATTGCAACGTAGCTTAGCAGAGATTTCATTATAAGAAGTTAAAAGAATTTTGTTATCTGTATTCCGAACCATGATAAAATTTAATGTTCCGGTCATGTCTGATTCGTCCATATCTATCAACTGAAACAAATCTTCGACAAAAAACGCACCTATTGTGACTTCAATGTTGTACTTGTATTGAATAGTATATACTCAAACCTAACGATGTAGATCTAAATTGATTGATTTATATAATTAAAGCTAAAGTTTCTTAGAACTTGTTATTATTTTTGTTCGATGTACCCGAGTTGTATATTATATGTATGTACCTATAAATTATTGCATTACAATATGTTCATAATGTTACATATTGCCTATTGATAAATAAATATTTCAAGTATTTGTACTTGTGATATGTACTTATATTGTACTTAATTTAGATTTTTAATCAACGTTACAACGACGATTATAAAAAAAATTTATAATAATAACTTTCTACTGCAACATATTTTAGTACCCATTTGTTTTTTATAGTCCTAATATCTACGGTAGAGACTGAAGATTTCTAAAATAACAATATACAAATTATAAAACCTCTTAACAAAGAGAATTTCGTCGTATTTGTTGTTTACACCAAGGAGTTTGTATCAAACAGGTATGCGTTTCCGAACTTGGATATTAGTTAAATTTTCCACGATGACCTTCAGCGTGTCGCGATAAGAATTACTCATATTGTTCCTCCTACGCCGGCTTACCTACTACCTATTTAGCGGTCACTAATCAAACATAGGCAACAGTGTTTACTAAGAATAGGTGGAGCGAATATGAACTACACGTACAATGTATCTGCATGAAACAAATTACTTAGTTGTACACTCGTATATATATACGTATTATGATTTTAAACTAGCTTTACCTATAAACTGAGACATAACAAACATTAGTCATATATGAACGTGATGTTAACAATTTATAAGCATTTATAAATGTTAATAAATATCGTAATATATTTATTGCCGATAAAGATTCTTTCTTTCTAAATACTTTTTAATGTAATAAATAACGTTGACTTCTATGGCATTGTAATTAATCGTATAGTTATATGTATAAAGAATATATATATATATATATATATATATATATATATATATATATATATATATATATATATATATATAATTAAATTGTTTGCGAAATCTGTATACGTAAACAAAACATTAGAATTATCAATATTGTGCAGAGCGGAGACATCGGCCCCTGCCGCCCGGTCAAGGTATCCGGGCCAAAGGTCGATGACAGCGCCGCATCGCTCGATTCTCCGACTTCGGGAGTTTGACATTGGTTGCAGTACTTGCCGCCAAATTAACGTTCGCAAATTGTATTAAAAAAATATACATTTTCTATTATTTATAAAAAAAATGCTGACCTGATGATATAGATTCATTTTCTGATTTGGGCGTCGTGGGTGGCATAGGTAAAGGCATAGAGGGCAACGGTTGCGTCGGAGGTTGCTGTTGCTGCATGGTGCACGTGTTACCAAGCAGTGATTGTGCCGTGTTGTAGGTGATGCTATCGTCGTACCCCCATAATTCGAGCCCGCCATACTCAGGCGAGGCGAGGGACTCTGGAGACATAACCATAGCAGGAGGGAACCCTAGGGCTGAGGACGACGTCACTTCTGAGGAGCTCTCTTCGAGCATTCGAAGCGGAAAGCCTCCGTTGTTAGACCAGCGGCGTCTCATGTCGAAGAGCGTGTCACACGCCCTGGTATCCTCTGCCGCCGACTGACATCCTCCGCTTCTCCAACACAACACTTTTGCCTCGCACTATAACTATCTAACGTTACAATATCAACATCCACTAGTAACGGCGGCGTCAGAACCGAAACGAATCGTTTCTCACAGTCGTGCGCCTCGGTACACTCCAAGATTGAAAATTCCTTTCGACAACTCTTAAACGCACAACACTACAAAAAACAAATATAAAACTGGCGAGTCGGCCTATGGGCACGAAATCGCAAGAAGTTACCGCGTAAGTTCGATGGAAATACGAACACGTTACACGCGCGCGACCGTCGTCAACGAAGTACCTACGTAGAGCGAGCGAACAAGCGACGCGGCCGCTCTCACTACTCACTGCCACGGTCGAGCGTGACGTCACGCCGCCGCCCGCCGCCCCCCGCCCCCGCCCAGCGCGCCCCGCCGCCCCGCCCGCCCGCCGCGCCGCGCAACCGTGGCACAGAAAGTCAAGTCACCGGGCGACAGAATGTAGCGCGCCGATAACACTGGATCACTTTTAATTTATGAAATAGATTCTTCCTCGCTTTATCAAAACAAGTCTATTTATTACACACACAACTTTTAAACATGGCGAAATAATTTCTTAATTAAGGATATATTATGTGAGATTTATATACTTACTTAGTCATAATTGAACGCTTGTAATAAATTATAATTTGTTCGCATTTAAATATGAGTCAAACGACTTCAAAGAGCTAAGTTATCCGTGCCTTAATTATTTTCCGGTAATTATATTACTTACCTATAAAATGCATTCTGTAATTTTGTTATCTTGTATAACTAATGTTGTGACCCCCTCCATTATTTTCTAATTTATATAAGTTTTAATTACTAGGTAGGTAAGTACCTAATGAGTCAATATATGCAAAGAAAAACTTCAATTTCAATATTATAAATACCAAACAAAAATATATAGTTTATCAATTGTACTATTTCTTTTCATTAATTAATTTCAAATCATTAAACAATACTAGTTATTGCATATTATTATTCTTAAAATACAATTATTTTGTAAAATATAATATTATACATGACTAGATTGAATTCTGTATTATTGATGAGTTTAAGTAGACATAAAGTAAATTGATTAAATAACATATTTTCAAAATCTGTAACGATTAAACGTATAAATAATATATTTTTTAAATATGTAGTTAATTATTATATATAATTTAGTGTACTATTTATTCTAGTTTAAATTACGAATTTTAGATATTAAACCAAAAAAAAAACCTACATAACTCTTTTGTATTTCTTGTAAATATTAATGTATCTATATCTTTCTCGATTGAGGTGATAAAGTTAAGGTCGTTAACAGAATATAGAACAATGACCTAAATAGCATGTAGGTTATCTGTATTTTTGCAACAGCATATTTCTTATCTGTCTCGGATCTATGAATTCATGGTCATATCATATCACATTTTATTTTGTGCGCAAATTTTTCCCTAAATCTTTAACTATATTTTAATTTAGGTAAAAAATGTAGTGTTACACGTAGGATATTAGGAATTATGTTTGTATTACATGCAGAAATATTGTGAAGATTAGATTAGGTGGTATGACGTCCCTGTCATGCTCTCGTCACAGTCACGTGTTCGCGCGGATCGTTGACCTCCATGTTTTGGAAATACGCATCTCGCTACTACCATCAGCTTCCGCGCAATTCAGAAATTTATCAGCAAACGTTTGCTCGTCCATGAAATAAATAATTTGTAAGTCTTTTAACTTTCCAGGAATTTATCACCGCTGTGGGTGTTAAATCATTTATTTTTCGTAGTGATTTATTTCTATCATTAGGATGATTTTTCAATGTTAATGATATTGCAATTTATCAACTAATTGTGTTTTGGTCACTTCCAGAATGTTCTAATACTATTTTATTATTATTTCATCTGTGGTGATCTGACAGCAAGATAATTATATAATGGTGCGAGCAATACGTGACTCGTTTTCATACTCGTATGTATGATTCGGCAGAATAGTAGTAAGCTTTTAAATTATTTTGTCTGATTGCTATATAAGGAAAAATTCAGAAACAAAATTTCTCGTTGAGAATAAAAAATCAAAGCATAATAAAATATTACTATGATGAAAATAAAGATTACTATAAATATAGTTATCTGACGGCACGAAATCGCATATGCCAATGATTAATTCAATAGAATTTTCTCATTCCATTGATCATAGACACTTTAATCTAGACATCTAAAAGAATAATTGGTTATACTTTGTATTGAACATCGAAAAAAGAATTAAGATAGTTTACAAAAAGAATTTTATTTTCAGTAATGTTTGTACAATCGTGACTACGGGTAATCGTGCGTGAGGCAAATATCGGTTCAGGATCCCCTCTTATTTAATCTAAATTTATTTATAAGAATTTCCAGAAGTGCTAATAAATCTTTAAACAAATCAAGAAACCGTATACAATCCGATGAAAGTTTTTATAAGGAAAATAATTGAATAATCTCAACTCCGCCCTTTTCTTTTCAGCTTTCGTATTGTGATTATTGGGAAAATATTCTCTAAGCAACGGATATTTCTATAAAAAGATCTAAGTATTGTTTTCTTAACATTTTTACATCACAATACCACTATACACTTAATCGTGTACAATTTAAATATATTAAATGTGCCATAATATTTTAGCGCTATCGCAGCATCAGGCGGCACTGACAACTTTATGGGAAACAGGATAGCTGTGTGATAGTCATTATTATTATTAGCCAGTATTATTTTCACTTTGTTTTGTTTTTAATATTTCTTTTTTGAATTTTAATTATTTTATTTAGTTTATATTATTGTTTTTTGTTCTTCAGTTTCACGTTTAACTTTCCATCATTAGCTTTCAATGATATATATTTTAACTGAAAGTCATAATTTTAACTTAATTGCCCCTTTATAGAAATTTTATCGATAATAATATATCGATAATATTCTTTTCATTCAGCTCTTTCACTGAGCTTCGCCTCTAGCCGAAGGAGATCAGGGTATAGTCCACCAAGTTGGTCAAATGTAGATTGGTGAACTACACACATCTTTCCAAAACTAATGATGTTCTTTTAGACATGTCAGTTTCCTCACGATGTTTTACTTCACCGTATTAGCAAGTAGTAATCATGTTGAAAATGACTCGAACATGAAAATCTCAAAAGTGCGAGACCACACGCGAAGTTTGAACCCACTCTCTTACTTTTTCAAAGCGACCGTATTACCAATGGGTTACTAATACTGTTTTTATTGATGACTAATAAATATTTTTCGATACGTGCCTACTCTCGCGGGAGTTATGTTGCTATATAAAATATACGTAAAGTTTTTCAAAGCAAAAATAAGTCGCTTTGATATTCGTTTAGAAACAAAATGTATGCACCATAAATTTATATTGTGACAAAATCAAAAATGTCATGTTATGTAACCAATGTGTTATATTGTTTTTATTATTATGTACACAAATTAAGTCTTTTTTGAAAAGCTTGCCATCTTAATTATGCCTATTAAATTAAATTAATTTAATTTAGTTCCTAAAGAATTCAAGAATAAAACATAATATTAATCTTGTGTCGATTCTTAGGATACATATAAAAAGTTTTACATTGTTGCCTACAGACCGCAAATGATTTATATTTCAAAGTTGGTTTCTAGCTCTGCGCCAAGTTTAAGACAGCTATAGAAAAGTATCATAAATTGTCATAAATAAAATCTTGTTTATAACTTTGAATTCTAAATAATAATATATAATATCAAAAGTTATTTTTATCAAACCTCACTAGTTTTCTTTAAATCATCTTTCTTACCTGCAACAAAAATAAAAAAATACAATTAAAATAAATTCAGTGTCACAATACTAAAAAAAACCCTCATCAAAAACATAACATGTAAAAAATTTTAAGTCTCGTCGCTTATGACAAAGTTCTTGTTGCTTCCATAGATAGATCTAAATAAATTAATCGACTTGGTCTTACATTAGATTTCACAATTTTTTGCGATAGAAGAACTGTGTTGCAAGATTTTTTTTTACCTGTTATGTTTTCATGGGATCTCATGTCTTTTTGTAAATAGTTCTTCTTTTTTTTCTGGGATATAGGATACCTAAATTGCGGATGATTTAGTTTATTCTTGCTTTATAGGTTAAACTCTAATTGTGTTCAAAATTTGAAGGTTATGTGTCTGCTAGAAGTACCTTAGAGTTTTGATGATCGTTGAGTAAGTCAGTGATGAAATTAAAGAACTTTGACCTGCGATAGTTCTTAAACTGCAGGTTCAAATTTCATGTAAATAAATTTGGCAATATCCTATACCTATTTATGTATGTCCTTTTACTCACTAAAAATTAAGGCTTCTAGTTCTATCCACAACGAAGTTACAGGACCCCCTGATAAAAGGATACTACGGCTGTGCCTTTCTTTGCTGGACTTGGTGGGGGCACTGCCGTGCCCCCAGATAAATTAACAATAGAACTTTTTAATATCCTCGTTGTTTCTAATTAAACTAACAATGTTGTGTTAAAAGTAAACGTTAATTTTATTCATGAATATATACATAACTGAGAACTTGTTTAAAAATATTGCAATAAAATAATAATATAAAATCTAAATTATAGGTAAATTATTTAATTTTATCAAAAGTACTTTATGCATATATTAATCACATTTATCTCGAAATGTATCTATCACATTATAAGATATTAATAACCTTGTTTTGGTTTCGCCGAATTATACTTCACCACTAATTAAGCGTAGCTTTCATGATAGAGTGGTAGAGCACACTTGCAACTTGCAAGTAACGCGGCAAGTTTGTATGTGCCGAGACCGGTTCAAATTTTCCTTAAGTTGTCGCACCTTTTTAAGCCGGGTGGGTAGCCGTTGTCGTGTTTTTACTAGTGATGCAGGCGTATAAAAAGTGGACTCGGCGGAATGGTCTGCTGAAGCGCAATTAAG